AATTTATATCATTGATTTAAAAAAAAAGATTGACCCTTTGTCCCTAGATAATTACCGTATAAATACTTTGTTGAATACAGATGTAAAACTTATACCATATACTTTAGCACAAAGAATTTTTAAAAAATCTACCCCAAATCATGTACAGAGATCAAAATGGTTATGTGACATCAGTTTTTTTGGCGTTGATACATTTGTGTGAAGCACAGTTCATAATTCTATTGTGCTGTACGTGTGTACTGTCGTAAATTAATTTGAGGTGTTCGTTGTTATTCTGTGGTTTACATGTTGTAATGTACTATTATATTATTTATTTATGTATTTCTCTGTCTTGAGTGTTCTTGCGTTTATTTGTACTGTATTCCTGTCACGTTATTTAGTCATTTTAGCGATATTTTCAACATTGCCATATAAGCGGGAGGCTTGCCTAGCCATAAAACCAGGTTCAACCCACCATTTTGTCTTATAATGTCCTGTACCAAGTCAGGAATATGGAAGTTGATATCAAATAGTTTTATCAGTCGAAATACTTGCTTGTAAAATAGGAGATTTTAACGATCTGTAAGGGATACAAATAAAATTTAATAAAAAAGCTAATGACTTTCTTTTTAAAAGATCAAATAAGATATGCATTTAATTTTAATGAAAATTTTTGGATCTTTCTATGGACTTAAACTCGATAGAAGAAAAACCGAAGGTATAAGGCTAGGTAAACTTTGCAAAGATAAATTTGAAAGTATCAATTGGAAAGATAAAGTGAAAAGTCGTGGTATTCATCAAGGCCTTAACAAACGAGAATGTGAAACACTAAATATAGAGAAACAGTTTGAAAAATCAGAAAAAAAGGCTAAAATATTGGAAGAAAAGAAAGTTGAGTATCATTGACAGGAGAACTTTAATCAAAACACTAGTTATTCCCAATATAACATATGTTACTTCATTGATAAATCTAAGCAAAGAGACTATATGTCAATTAAAAAAAAATATCTAATTTAATTTTTTATGTAGGGTGGTAGTGCGAAAGTAAAACGCTCAGTGTTAAGTAAAGATTATATCAAAGGGAGATTGAAAATGACGGATATTGATGCATACATTGAGGTTATGAAAATAACTTGGGCTAAAACATTAACTGATGAAACTTGTGCCAGCTGGAAAATCATACCAAACTATTACTGCAGGGAGTTTAGGGATAACTGTTTTGATATTTAAAATGAATCTTAGTTCTCATAAGTCATTAGAAAACCTAAAAAGATTACCTACTTTTTACTTTGAAATCTTGATGTTGGATAAAAAATAGAGAGGGGAAGACAAAAGTACCTGATAATTATAGAGTTATAAGAAAACAAGTTATATGGGGAAATCAATATATAAAGATTCATGGCTAAAGTTTTTATTTTAGTCACAGGGTAAAACAAAACATAATTTTTGTTAATGATGTAATTGATGATAAAGGAAATATTTCTCATAAAGTATTAGATGAACTAAAATAGAAACAAAACTGGATCGATGAATTATGTACTCTTCGAAAAGACTTACTCAAAAAATTAAAGAGTAATATATCAAAACATACTAAAATTAACATATACACGACATTAAAATATTTTTTCATGGATTGTAATACAATCTGGACTAACTTAAGTTCAAAGAAATTTAAAATATTATAATCAGGTCTAATAAATAGCTTCAAGTAGGCTTTTGCTCTTGGAAAAACAAACTATCCTGCGAAAATGTTATTTGTTTTTTCAAAGATAATAGATTGAAATTTTTTAGATGGAAACTATTACATAACATTTTTGCAATCAGCCATAATCTGTATCGTTGAAAAGTAGTCAGTAATGCAAACTGTGAGCTATGTTTCAAATCTGATAACTTAACCATTTCGTCTTTGAATGCATATGGGTTAAAAACTATTGGACATATTAACACAAAACATTTATTTTTTTAATATTGGTGAACAAGTTTTTTGTCTTAAACATTTAAATTCGGATTTAAATTGAAGTTGTTGAATATAATATACTTGATCATATTACAAGTGTTTGCTTTGTGATTTATAAATGCTTTTATTTATTAGAAAAGAGAACTAAATATGCGAATGTGATGTCAGTCCTAAAAAATGGAATTGAAACACAAGTTATATATGATCCGAAAAATTTATTTTTGAGAAAATTTCATAAAGAATCTTAGAAATTTGATTATTTATCTCTTTTGTTAGGGATGGCTTAGTACCACAGTAAACAAATCATGGAAATAAAAGGAAGAAAAATGCTCATCAAGAACTTCTCCTTTCTTCTTTTTTGTTTAAAAAGCAGATATGGTATATCATTCTATGTTTGATGTAATTGAATGATAAGATAGTATATAAAAGTCAATCGTAATACATTCAATAATACTGACCTTTCGATCCAAAAGATTAGAAACCATGGTTTTACTTTCGTTTTTAGAATCCGAAACTTAAAGCTAAACAAAAGACGGTCAAAGATACGTTTCTTTTCCATTGTATCTCAGTCGATATGCCATCAAAAAGTATACATGTTTGTAGAATTACTCTGTAAATTTAAACTAACACGTATAATATATAAATGTATAAGAAGTTTGCTAATGAAAACCCTTGTTTTGATTGGAAATTAACAATACATTGAGAAACCTAAGTGCCATTGGTGTAATGCTAAGGGGCATTGTTAGCAACTATTAATAAAATAAAATATCTGAAGTTGAAAAAAAATCCCATATAAACCTAAAATCTGTAAATCTAGTAAAGGACAGTTATTACCGTTTATATTTTATCTATTTTAAATAAGTTCCTTTGTGTGAATTTAAGCAGTATATCTAGAAAATTCTTGATTATTTAACAAATTAAATATCATCAAGATAAAGATAAGTGTTGTTGAACTTATCATTTATATGGAAGTAAGAGGGTCTTTACTGAGTTTTGCCATTAACTGTGATTCATAACAGTATAAGAACAAGTCTGCTATGAAGGGGCGCAATTGATGCCAAACGGAATCTTACATAATTTTTTTCAATGAGAAAGTTAACAGCTTCGATCATCTCATCATAACTCAAGTAAGTATATCTAGCTTATTTACCTTTCTCATTGAGATAAAAGATTTGATTGAGCTGCTGCAAATATATTTGCAATGAGATTTTTCAAACGACCATTTCATTAAATAGGATAACTTTTGTTTGATATGATTGTGTGAAAGTGTAGTGTAAAGAGTTGAAAAGCCAAAACTGTCATCAGAATTAAAAAGACCATCAAAACACGTAATTTATCTTTAACATCCACATCCAAAGCATTTTGTACATTCCAAAAATAGTTAATATCACTATTTTCGTATTTATATTGCAAACGTGAATGATAAGTATTTTGATAGTAGTTAAGGAACTAGTTAAAATCATTAAAATCATTGAAAGATTAGTTGTAGAACACTTACTAGATGTTTTAATGATTTTTTTGTGAAGTTTTATTTAAAAACAATACATAGTAGGGTCCTTCAAATGTTCAGAAGATGCCTTAAGCTGTGATGTTGATATGAAATGACTGTTAACTATATGACTCTCTGTTGAGCGCACGGACCTGAATATAGAAGAATGTATAATTTCATTCTTAAGAAGTTCCGTGTAGAATTTGCGTCATACCACCACTACATTGTTGGCTGATTTGTCGGCCGGTACAAATACAAACCGCTTTGCAAGTACTTGGAGTTTGTTTCTTATTCTAGAAATAGGTGTATTGTCTTCTCTTTTATTTATTTCTAAATTATTTTCAATGTATTTATTTCGAATATCCACAACATTCATACATTTATTTAAATAAGAAGCAAGAGAATTTTTATCAGATTTTCCCCATGTACATCAATTATTAATATACGATGAAAAAGCGTCTTTTATTATCTGTCGAATCTAGTTTAGATTATCAGTATTATACCAACTTCACCTGCATATACATTTCCCTACTCATCCGGTATCCAAGAGCTCACAGCTGCTACCAAGACTTTATAAAACGTCGCCAACTTCTGAGCAGAAAGTTGAAGAACCAGGGTTATGTCAAAGAACGTCTCGTCCTTTTTCTAAAAACAAGTTAGGCGGAAGATACCAAGACTTTGTTGATAAATATTCCGTATCAACTTCACAAATAATACATGATGGTCTTCTAGTATAGTTTAAACTTTTACTGTCTAGTCCATTTTTGGTAAAATCCTTTTGGGATGGCTCGATAGTTATACATCCCGTCATTGTGATATTGTGCTATAGTAATTTTTGTATTCTTGTCAATATAACGGAATTTTCTGCGACTGTCATACGAGGGAGATGTTTAGCTAGCTATAAAACCATTTTTAATCCACCATTTTCTACATAAGGGAATGCTTGTACCAAGTCAGGAATATGACAGTTGTTTTCCATTCGTTTGACGTGTTTGAACTTAAGGATGAATGGGAAAATAGAAATATGGTAATTCTTGGTATTCGTCCGACCGTCAGGAAAACCCTTGCCAAAATTGGGCGTCCGTTTGGTTTAGCGGGATGTTAAAGTATGCATCCCCGTCAGGTCACAATGGGGATGTTAAAACCTATGCCGCGTGTAGTTAGAGTGCCTCGCTCTCTGCACGCTAAGAACTCTTGCAACAACTCTTATCGGGTTCGTAGACGGCCTGTTGCAAGGCAAAATGTCTCTCCCTATCCAATATACACTCATTTTCCCGTGGAAGTCCACATTTCTCCGACCTTCATCCCAGACGGCCTTTACTACGGGACCTACTTATTGTATTTATTGTTAATTTGTTCTCGTCCTAAACATCTTTAAAATATTTGCCATTGGACGTTAAGCAACTTATAATTATTATTATATTTGTATAAGTACGAGATATGTATTTCCATATCAACTGACAAATTGAACAGTATGAACTGAAAATAAACTACCCATATTGATTGTTATGACTATGTTGCATGTCATATCATGTCATGTCTTATGTTTCTAATACATATATTTTGCTTTTTAAGGAGGATTTGCTCATATTACTTGTCATAAAAGAAAGTCTGATGGGACCACAGAGAATATAATCCCCCCAAACGACATCCCTAGCGCAGGAATATCTATCGATGACGCCTTTTACATCTTATTATGTGAGATATGTGGACCACAATTAATGGAAAATTTCAAAACAGTTGAACTCGAGGACTATTTTGATTTATTCCAAGACTTTGAAAGAAAGAAACGAAACACACGATGGAAGCAAAATAGCAAGTTTGTTGTTACGCTTCCAGTATCGTTAATTGATATGATGTTCAAAAGGGGAAAAAGATTCGAGACAGAGATAGAAAAATCTCCCCATACAGGAAATGTGATATACGCGAAAGGAAAACTAATTATTTCTCTCAAAACAATCAAAAGTCTCTTTCATCAAACAATAAATGTACTTATGAAACACATTACAATCATGCAGAAAGTCCCAAAGGTATCAGATGTAAACATGATTGTTATGGTTGGTGGATTTTCTGAATGTGAATTAGTGCAAGATGCCCTGTGTAATAAGTTTGGAAAGTCTGTAAGTTTAATCATGTCAGAGGAGGCTGAACTTGATACTATGAAAGGAGCAGTACTGTATGGTTTTCAGCCAAATGTAAGTAGTTTTATAGTAGTATATGGTTTGTATTTGTCTACAATTTTTCCTTAAATGATACTTCATATTGTTTTAGCTAGTATAGTGAATTAAATGCACCATAATTAAACAAAGGCAGGTATGGTTAGTTAATGAAAGAACTGCAGAAGTCATAACTAAAAGCAAGTATCATGTCATAGACAGTTTGATATTCGTGAAGGGAAGAATTAATGTGAACTCTCGAGGTATTTGTTGTAATATTTCTGAATTGAAAGAAAACATATTTCAGAGATCGACATACTAAGATATAATAAGGTATAGTTTATAAGATAATATACTATCGAGTTGAAAATAGAAAAGGTGGCTTATTACTTGTCAACCATAAGCAGTTACAAAAAAGTCAAGAAAAAGCTCTGCATCTGCGTTTACTGTTTTCATATGATAATATAAAGATAAACAGATGTGATATGATTGCAAATGAGACAGCTATCTACAATAGTACAAATGAAGTTGATGTAACCTTTAACAATGAACAAACCCATACCGTACAGTCGACTTAAAACGCACAGACATAAAAAATGTAAAACAATTCAAACGAGACAACCTACAATTTACGAAAAACCAAATATGACAAACACGGACAAACGACTACCACTGAAATACAGGCTCCTAACTTGGGACAGGTACATCAAGAATGTGTCGAGGTTAAACATGTATGTAAGTGACCAACCCTCTCCTTGACCTGGGGTAGTGTGGTAACTGCACAACATAAGAAACAAACTGTACAAACCAGTTGCAATAAGCTTAACTCAAAAATCGGTACGAGACAAAACAACTAACGTAAAACCCAATGGACACAAAGCACCAAAATAAGAGTACTAACAGTCACTAAAAGCTACTTCAAAGGCAATTACATCTAATAAATAAATCATGTTCTCCCAGAATAATCAATCAGTATACATCTAACGGATTTAGTTTACAGATGTCATAAACAGTCTGATCCTATGATTTTTTTCTATTCTGAGAAACGCACCACTTTCTGCAATGCCAGACTATAAGTAAACATTATCAACAGGATGTAGGATGATGAGCTCCCATAACTGCACACAGACAGCAATATATATTTAGTTATGCCCTATATTTGTTATGTTACAAATATATTAGAATTTATACTTGTGTATATTTCAATTGATATCTTATAGTGTGTCTTTCTATGTTATAATATTATACTACTGTTTCAGGTTAGGGTGAAGGTTGGCGCCTGTTAAAACGTTTAAACACGCTGCGTTTGTTTGCACCTGTTATAACTCAGGAACCTATTGTTCAGTGGTTGTCGTTTGTTGATGTGGTTCATAAGTGTTTCTCGTTTCTCGTTTTTTTTTTAATAGATTATACCGTTGGTTTTCCTGTTTGAATTTTTTTACACTAGTCATTTTGGGGCCCTTTATAGCTTGCTGTTCGATGTGAGCCAAGGCTCCGTGTTGAAGGCCGTACTTTGACCTATAATGGTTTACTTTTTACATATGTGACTTGGATGGAGAGTTGTCTCATTGGCACTCATACCACATCTTATTTCTTATGTGGACATTAATTAAAATATTAAATAAGAAAGATCTATGGATATGAATAATAAAAAAAGATTTAAAAAAGCGTCCTTTTTTCTAGCCAAGTTGAATGGTATGTTCGTGTTTTTGGAAGACAAAAATTATAAAATAAATATTGTTTCAACAATGGAACTAATTCAAGAATATGACAGTTGTGTTCTACTAATGTAAAGTCATTTAAAATGTATTCTAAGCATAGAAGTTGCAAGACAAATTGCAATCTTAGATAATAAAGTGATTTACATCTAAACCTTGGTTTGTTCTTTTTCAGTTTAATAAGAAGTATTTCTGTTCAAGTTGTTTTGCATGGAATATACAATGTAACACAAAATATCACGATGTCTAAGGAAAAAAGTGTATTATAAGTATATAATTTAATGTTAACTAAATGAACCAGTTTAGATGCATGTTTTGTGTTTAGTATATTTAGAAAGGGAGATACATGACTCTTTTAAACGCAGTTACTCAAACTGTCTTGAATAAAAATTCTAGTCTGACCATCAACATATATATTCCTCAAATCAGTTAATGTTCAGATGACACGTGACCTAATTGTAATTGCGTTTTAGTTAGTCTCCAATACAGTATGACTTCTTAATATGACTAAGAGAAGTATTTCATTGCCAAATTATGTTTGCTAAGGTTCTGCAGGTTACTCACAAGTAACCTACTTGAAGCTTTTGTCTTACTTCCTTGAGGCTTGAATCAATTTAAGGTTTGTCTTCCTGTTATTTTATGAACTGCAATGGAATAATTCATGTCGTACTTGCAATTAGACGCAGATAGACCTAAGTGTATAAATTTAGTCATTATTCTTGAAAATAGTGACATTCAGTCAGTCGTTCAGACTTTTACCATGTTCACAAATCATAATGAAATAAGAAAACTTAAAAAACAATTGTTTAGAGAACCATTGAAAGGCTTTCCACTAAAATCAAATTACTTTGATAGCTTATATCACACTGATTCTGAAAATATAAAATGTGTTGAATTTATAACGAAATAAGAAATATAATAAACAACTTCTGGTGAAATCAAAGTGACTAAATGTCATATAAAAGCTTATTTCAAGCTGATTAAAAAAAACACAAGGTTTTTATATACTTCAATACGGGAGATACGTTGCTTCTTCTGGTTAAAGAAATTTCATTTCCGGTTTCATATGAATTGTTACTTCACACTGATTGCTAAATTATATAGTTTTAGCTACTTTAAGTTAAAATAAATGCAAAAAGTAATTACTTTCGGTTTACAGAAGACCATTTTGAACGTCATATGTCTGCAACCTAATGCAATAGACCATATGACTGTTACATATACCCATATAAAGTTATAGCAAGGGTCAAAATCTAGAACATCAAATCAAGCTTTGGCCTTGAGTTCAAATTCCATGTTCTAAAGCACGGACCTCAAATCAATAGATATTAGGTCTCTACTATATATATGATTACTGAGATATATCTCCATACAGCTAATTTTAAACATGAGAGTGGAGAACATGCAATTAAAGGTCAATGTTCCATTTCAATCAAAAATTATGTGTTACGACATGTCGAAATTTACAATTTATTAACAACATTTTGTCGATATCTTATACTTTGACTTTTGTGTAGCAAAAATAAGAAAACAAAATTAACAATATGATCTTGACTTCATTTGCTTTTTTTGTGGGGACCAAGAACCTCAAATCAAAAGACACTAGGGTCTATCACTTAACAGTTGCAAATACATATCACTTATTTCAAATACATAATAACTGTCATTAGGAGTCTTCGGATCGCATTGGTCAAAATAATTCAAGACACCATGATAATGGTAAAATAATTTTGTCGTTATCTTTTATGATTTCGAAGGTGTAGTGAACACAAGAAAAACAGTGGGAGATATCTATTACAAAGAAAAAAGTACTTGGTTCAACAGTGTCAGTTTAATATATATAAACTGTTCCTTACAATACATCATATATCTAAGCTACATCTTCCGAAAAAAAAGTAACGCAATAAAAGAATTTGGCAGAAGAAAAAAAAATAATAATCAGAAAAAAAATCAAAAAGTCTTTCCATGGAAAGTAAGAAGACCTAATTAGATATTCAAAGTTGCATATATCTTACATAAATTACCATCAATATCTTTTAAACTATTTTTATACCTTGACTAACAAGACAATAACTGCATGATTAATATTGGTATTTAACCCTTTTTAGATTATATCATTTATTTAGACAACATGACTTCTATCTTTGCATGACTTGGTAACTTATATAGTCTGCACTGATTCCGATTTGCTTTCTTAATTGTTAAGGGAACTGTCTTTTTTTTTTTGTGTTACGTGTTTGATTTTGCTATTGTTTCATCTTTAAAGAGCCGAAGAGCGTAATTACTAGTATTGTAATTGACTTTCATGTATGCATGATCTTGAATGTTAAGGATGAGTCATTTTCGGAATGAGGCATGAGGCTCAAGACGATGTATTTACTTACCCATTCAGTTTGGAGAGATTAATTTGCCCACCCCATAATTTGTTTGCATATAAAAACCTGTGAATTAAGATTGACACAGATAACATTGCCGTATTAACAGCACAGTATAGCTATGTCATTGCCATAGTCAGGGTTTTGACCTGTGTAAATTGAGATGTCTTGCTGCACACTGCGAAACAAATGTTATTGTTGTATCTTCTTCAGTTTCAGGATCTATTACCAGAATGACTCCCCAATCCAAGTAATGTTTGGATTGGAGCCTTTTATCAGTTTTTGATGAACCTGTAAAAAATCCTTTTATAAAGGTTTTTAACCCAAATTACTGATTGATATATATATAATGAAAAGAAGTGTGTATACTATTTTTGCATAAAAAAAGGAATGAAAAGCGTGTGACGAATGCCGGTGTAAATCAGCAGATTTTAAAATTGTGCGTTATAATTATTTGTTTATGATTTCTTAATTCTTTAAAAAGATTTAGTAATAAAAACTTGCATTTCAAAAATAATCTATGAATATTTACGTTTACATCATAAACTGATCTAAAATCGGTAATATAAACCTATAGAGTGATGAGCATTTTTATAAGTGTCCTTTAATTTTGAATACTGCATAAAAAGTCACAAAGTAGAATGAAATTGTTTTTGTTTTGATTGAAAAGCTGTTACACTGTTTATTTTGGTGAAATAAAATTAACATAGAGGCCTAATTGGTAACTTTTCTAATTACAAACCAAAAATTATAAAATCATGATCAAAGTTCGTAAATATCATATACTAACATTCATCCAGACAAAAATATATTGATTTGAAAAAATGAATTTTTAAGAAATTTTACTACTATTATATAGAAGTCAAACCAGTGGTAGGTTAAGCTAGCTATAAAATCAGATTTAAACCACCATTTTCTTCTTGTCCAAAGTCAGGAACATGACAGTTGTTTTCCATTCGTTCATTTGGTTGATAAAGTCTAACGGTTCATTTTGTCAGTTTTTATGGACTTCCCACTTTATGAATTAACTTTGAAGTTCGGGATTTTTTTTTTTACTTTTTTATATATTTGTTCGAGTGATATCAGTAATAAGCCTATGACAGTCGGACAATATACTTGACGACTTGAATCGCATGAAAATCTTAGTGACTGAACAAAATATCGATTTCCAATTCCAATTTATGTACATAAAATGTATTTAAATTACTATTCATTAAAGACATTAACACAAAAAAAGCAATCATCAAATACTACAAATATGAATAAATGTCTATGTAGGCAACAGTACTTTATCGATGTTAAACTCATAAACTTACACTTAAGAAATCGCATGTACTTCAAAATTACAAAGACTAGTTTCTTCTACAGGTTAACTTTCCCCTGCTATGCATGCATCAACCACCATGCAATCCAAAGTCAGTGAAATGTTATAATCTGTTAATGCACTTTGTTAAAAAAAAACGCATGACATATTTTTGTGCGTAATATCCAGTTGCAAGTGTTGCATGCCTGTTTGTCTTGCAATATGTTGGTCAACCTGGATCAATTGCAGAAAATTTTGAATGCCACTTGAAAATGAGGGTATAATGCACAGAAATTAAAGCCTACAACAGGTCACATATGGACCCTTAAAAGAGTTTTTGAAATTGTTCTGAACGTGAAGAGAGCATGGCACACTTTTAAACGAGGAATAGGATTTAACGTTACCATTCAGACCGGACGTGACTTTGAGTTTATACATCCAAAAGGATGCCCTACATTGGCTAGGGTTTTACTGTCGGTCGGATGAAGAACAACTTTAGTCTTAGATACATGATTTTTTTAATTAGTTTATATTGGCTTTGCATTAGCTGTCAGTAACTGCGAGTACTTTCAGATCTGTACCTAGTGTCTTGTTGTTAGGGATGAGGGATGGATATATATCCTGCCTCGTCCTGTCTGTGTTTTTGTTAAATGTTTGTCTTTGTATCGGTCTGATGAGTTTAGCCTTTTTCAACTGATTTTGATAGTTTGTTCTTATGTTGTGCTGTTACACCACTGTCCCAGGTTAGGAGGAGGTTTGAGCGTTCACAACCATGTTTAACCCCGCCAAATTCTTTATGTGCCTGTCCCAAGTTCAGTGGTTCACGTCTGTCATATTTGTGTTTCGTAAATTGTTTTGTTATAAATATGGCCGCTAGTTTTCTCAATTGAATTGTTTCATATTTCTTTTTTATGTCGGGTCCGTTAATAGCCGACTATACGGTAAAGGTTTTTCTCATTGTTGAAGGCCGTACGATTGCCTATAATTGCTTCTATCCACTTTTTTTTTAAACTTTTGGGGATAGTTGTCTCACTGGCAATCATACCACATCTTCTTATTTTTATAAGGGATGAACATAATTCTATACCCCAGTCGACAATTGGCAAAAAATTGATTGGGGTGACCCGAAATCAAGCAGTTTTGGTTGATTCGAAATGTGTTTAGAGTGGGGCTAAATAATCACAGAAAAACTACTTTGATTCATGTAATATTCACTGAATCGTTTCTCTAGGATGATAATTGTGGTATTGGAAATATCATATCTGAACAAAAACTTTGTTTCAAACAACTTTTTTTTTCAAATGAACTTTAAGTAAGCAAAACTCAAATTAATTTATCAACTCTGCTTCACCAGGAATATCTGTATTTGCTTTTCTTGGTCGTTCTGCTATCATCGCATGTAATTTTAGGAATGCTTAAATATTGAGCATAGACGGATAATCTGCCCTTAGTTGACGATCCCTTAAACTCATACATAACAAGGTAAAATGACAAGACAATTACAAAACTATCATGTACAACTTTCGGGGATAATTTTTAATCAATCCACCATTGAAAGTATAGTATATAAGTTAAAACAAAAATATATATGTTTATAGGCAAGTGCAGATTTTTTCTTGAACAGACTCAGTAAAATGCATGCAGAGGATTTCAAGGACTTAATATCTAAAGGATATTATGCCTCTTATGAAAACCGTGTTTATTTGGCTGGAGCTTGTAATATTGGTAAAAGTTCATTGGCAAGCATTCTGATAGGTGACGATGTTCCTAAAAAATGGTACTCTACTGATGGCTTGGTGATACACTTTGGACGAAATGGAATACATCTTGAAGACAAAAAGATGATACCACTTATTAAATGTGAGTACTGTATTTAAACAACTGAATTCTGCCCGAAATATATGGAGTATAAAAAGTATTTCAGCATGTTTATGCGTCTGCCAAACGGCAATAAAACAGAAAGTCTTAATCATAAGACAGACATTAATTTTTTTAGCTTAGACAAGTACATGCGGTAGGATGAAACTAGTTTTCCATATCATAACCTTTAAATCATCATAATAATTAATCGCGATCAATACATATTTGACATATCAAAAATTAACGACCTGTAAACTGTAAATTACCCTATTTTTGACATGTTAAGCTCTTATGTCTGTTTGTATTGTTCACACTATGCTGTCAATGTAAAGGAATTGTATGCAACTGTCATACAAGTGAGAGGTTTGGCTAGCTATAAAACCAGGTTTAATCTACTATTTATTACATAAGGAAATGCATGTACCAAGTCAGTTGTTTTCCATTCGTTTGATGTGTTTGGACCTTTATTTTTGCCATTTGATAAGGGACTTTCCGTTTTGAATTTTCCTTGGAGTTCGTTTTTTTTTTTTTTTTTTTTTTTTTTGTTATTTCTATTTCTCACACGTTGAACTATTACGGTATTTCCTGTTGCCATGTTCTGAAATGATTAAAGACAGCCGATTTTGGAGGAGGAATTTTTACTGTAGTTTCAGTTTGTCGGTTATCTTGCTGTCAACGTAAATAGTATGCATGTTACGATACAGGGGAAATTTTTAATTTTGTTCAGGAAGACACAGCAAAAAAAAATGTATTTGAGAATCCGAATATAAAATGTTGCACTTAAGTACTCGTTGTCATCCCCGAAAATTTTACATAGTTAATCTAATACTGAAATTGTAACACTTTTACTCTTTGACGCAGAAGATTAGATGCATATTTTGATAGCAACTTTGATTTGGACTTCGAAAAGCAATTCGGTCAAGAGGTATCAACTGTATATTTATAAAATGTACATTTTTTCCAAAAAATGTTTTTTACCAAACATGTACCTTTCTTTCAATCAGGTTAAAACAAATTTTTAAGATTTCATTATTATTCTTAAATAAGTCGTATTGTTTTGATATCTACAAGACCTATCGTTAGAGGCCAGTGTTTTCCGATTATGGTATATAGTTTAGTTGTACATTTTTGTAACATGATTCTTTGCGATAGAAAAGTTTCAAAGCACTGGCAATAAAAATATACACAAATCTATTAATAATGTTATAAGAGCGTCTTGAAAATACATATAAAAATATGTTCAAAACTGAGTTATTGCCTGTCACTTTGAAGTCTGAACTTTTTGTTTTTGGTCATATATAGCTCGATAGTTAACTATGGAGTTTTTACAAAGAATAACAAGTTAAAATTCCGAACTCCCAATTTCTAAAAATAACCTTTTCTTATGTCAGATCTGTTGAACAAAATTTGAGGAAATGATATTTCGTCTCCATTCTTTTTGCAACCCATTTTTTTCGGTCATATTTAATTTTTTTTTTACTTTTATTAATGTATTTGTGAATTGGTTTATTTATCTAATTCTTTGTGCATTTTGATACAAGGTACATTTACAAAATTTGAACAGGTAGTATTCAAACAGAAATATAATTTAAAACTTGTCAGAATCGAACAATTTGCTTATCATGCAAAATCACTTTATAAATTTGTTGCGTCCGCAGCTCTTTTCTGGATTGACCTTTATCATGAACGCTCATACCCAAAATATAGAAGCAACTTGTAAATTTTGAATGGTTTACTGGGGGACTGTTATAAAAAGGTATTATACAACTTGCCAGTATATTGGGTATACTTATTTTTAGCAATGTATATTATCACTAAAAGATTGTTAAGTCAATATAATAAGTTCTGTGCTTCTGTATTGAATCATATGCAATAAAAAAAATAGTAATTGACATCTCATCTTTCTTGGATATTCTTTATCTGTATCAAACATTTTGTTTTGCTAAAACAGATGAAATAAAATTATTTAATATGCTTGGCTCGATGATATTACAATAATTAAATTTGCAAAACTAAACGATTTTTGCTTTTTTTTTACAGCTGACACAAACATTCTGCGAAAACTGTTATTAGGAAACCCTAATATAGAAGCTAGACAGATGGAGAGCAAACAATCTATTGTATCTACCAATATCCAGAATCGTGTTCCAGAACAAAGTAAGATGGATCATGATCTTAGCAGACCATCTGAAAAAGTAGCTAAATCCAACTCGGCTAAAAAACAAACACATCAAACAGCTGCCCAACGAGAACCTAGATCATCAAAAGGATACAAGCGACAAGAGGCTTCACAGCGCAAAGATTCGAAAGGAGGGGCGATTCCAAAGTCTACTCTACCACAAATAAAACAACAAACAGCTACTTCTATTCAAAGTAATGTTTTACAAGAGATAAGAGATGGTACATATAAGATAAGAGTAGCCCCATCAGATTTGGTGGACTTTGGTGGACAAAGATCGTTTGATATGACACACCAATTGTTTATTCAACATAAAGGAACGTTTGTTCTGATGTTTGATGGGAGATATGGGTTGCATTCCAAACTTAAAGAATATCAAGAAGGTTCCATAACTGCAAAAGGTATACTTTAACTTTGAAAATTCAAGAAAAAATATTCATAAAAAGTTAGTTTGTCATATTATCTAAATCAAATAGAAACCGTTATTATACAATTTACCCACTATAATCATGGGAAAGTTTGTTGTGGAAAATCAAATACCGAACGAAATAAACTTTAACCAAATGAAAAACAAGTCAATGTAAAGTTGAAAGTATTCCAATAGCGGAGAAGAACACAAAAAGAATTCAATAGCATACACAAAGTTGATAATTAATTGATTGTTGTTTGCTTAATGTCCTGTGGTAAATACTTCATGACAAGAATAAATCAGTAATGAATACCATAGGTAGATCCTGTAATAAGGGGTTCGACAGAAGACGGGAAATTTGGAATGCCACAGGAAAATGAGGGTATATATGATCAATCTTAAATAAATAATCACTTGTTATTCACTATCTTTCAGATGAAAAAACACGTTATTGTTTGACTGTTTGAAATCTGGAATTGTGACAGTGTTCAAATACGCTAAACAATAATTTAAACGAAAACTTAAATGTGATATTTAAAGATATCCCCTTATTTCAAATAGTGTTTTTCTATTAAGTTTTTACTAAAAAAAGGTAGTAGCTAACTGATAATCTCTTCTGAAATATCACGGAACGGTAAAATCACAAAAATACCGAACTCCGAGGAAAATTCAAAACGGAAAGTCCCTAATCAAATGGCAAAATCAAAAGCTCAAACTCATTAAACGAATGGATAACAACTGTCATATTCCTGACTTGGTACATGAATTTTCCAATGTAGAAAATGGTGGATTAAACCTGGTTTTATAGCTAGCTAAAACTCTCACTTGTATGACAGTCGCATAAAATTCCATTATATTGACAATGATGTGTGAACAAAACAAACAGACATAATATATAGTTCGTTCTTATGTTGTACCGTAACACCACTGTCCTAGGTTAGGGGGAGGGCTGGGATCCCGCTAACATGTTTAACCCCGCCACATTCTGTTTGTATGTGCCTGTCCCAAGTGAGGAGCCTGTAATTCAGTGGTTATCGTTTGTTGATGTGTTACATATTTGTTTTTCGTTCATTTTTTTGTACATAAATTAGGCCGTTAGTTTTATCGTTTGAATTGTTTTAAATTTGTCATTTCGGGGCCTTTTATAGCTGACTATGCGGTATGGGCTTCATACATTGTTGAAGGCCGTACGGTGACATATAGTTGTTAATTTCTGTGTCATTTGGTCTCTTGTGAAGAGTTGTCTCATTAGCAATCATACCACATCTTCTTTTATATATAATAGGTAAAAATGTCAAAATAGGGGTACAACAGTGTAAGATTGGTGTACCATTTTGAATGAATGAACATAGCCTTTTTCTGGCTTTTTAATGAAATGTTTCTGATGTACTTAGTGATTTCATAGCTTGAATTTTTGTTATGCTGAGCTGAATAAATTAATCTACATACACTCGAAAATTAGTAAAAGTCAACTTTATATATCAAACAAATGCTCCAGTTAGGTTAACAACTGATGTGTAGACATTATGGTATGCGGCAGATGTGGCCGATTTATATTTTTGATTAAATCGTTATGTCATCTTTTCATACGGTTCATCCGTTGCTTTTTTTTATGCTCAAACTTTCAAATTTATCCTATACATATAGGTTTTTATTTATTGTGAATAGTGATAACACCGATAATGAATATTGAGTATTAAAAAAACCATTTCGATACTATTAATCTGTCATCCATTCCATTATGTCTCATCACACAAGCATTGATTAATATAAAACATTAGTTCGTAGTCAGCTCTTATACTTTTTTCACTACAAAACTAACTACTTCTAAGTGTAATGATATCTCACATGACTCTTAAACTATATGAGTATTTTCTATCTTAAATTTTTACTATTCTTCACTCGAAAAGAAAACAATATTTGCAATTTCAGATATTCTTCTTCATTGGGTGACTTCTATTCTGATCTACTGTGGAGAGGGTGACAACACAATGCCAATGATACTCTTTGCTGCAACCCATAGTGACAGTTTTCGTGCGGTGAGTTTAATACTAAATTTTGTATTGTTCCCATAGCGGAAATTGGTCCATCATCTTTCCAATGTTCAGAGCCCTCGATCACATGGTCAAATGGGCTAATTTGATACTGGTATACTTTCTTTTTAGTCGAATGAAGCCTGTCCTTGTCGGTTTCTTCTTAGGTTTAACATAGTACATGATAAATAGCGGCATGTGCGCCCTTCTTAAGATTTGCACCATGTTTCTGTGACACCATGGCAACTTCTTTATCATATGAGATGAGTGATATTTTTTTATGTACAGCGCTTTCAGCCGTCGTATCAGATTATGGACGTTTCTTTGTGGTAGCGTAGCGAACATATTGTTTAAGACGTTGCATCATCATAATAAACGTGTTGGGAGCATACTATTTTCACTTTGGTTTAACAAAGGCTTGTATATTCCTAACTTGCTTATAAAAAACTTTAAAATATAAACAGAAAAATAAACAAATACACAAATTTACAACGATCAATTGCAAATTGCCATTGACCAGGGCCAATTGTCTGATATGTACTCTGACCCTTTGGACCAAAACAGTGGGAGATCTTCATGACATACTGTTAATGATTAGGAAAAAAACACTTATTCATGCAATTTTAAGCATTAATGGGCACTTTGTCTTAAGTTCAAATAAAGTGGCAGTCATTAATGTCAAACTATACCTTATCCTGACTTGCACTGAAAAATTCAATTTACCTTTAATTGCCTAATTTAGCGTTCTGGTATAGGGAAGTTTGGTAGTACAAAAACAGGTACTTCTGATCTAAACAACAGGGCAAATGTGCCTTCCTATTATAATGTCATATGTTGTTTTATTTTATTATTCAAAATTAACTTTCAACAAAGGTCCTACAGTAATCAAAAGTCCTTAAGTTTTCATACAATACCAAAAAGTAAAATACCGAACTCCGGGGAAAATTCAAAACGAAAAGTCCCTAATCGAATGGCAAAATCAAAAGCTCAAACACATTAAACGAATGCATAATAACTGTTACATTCTTGACTTGGTACAGACATTTTCTTATGTAGAAAAGGGTGGATTAAACCTGGTTTTAAAGCTAGCTAAACCTCTCACTTGTATGACAGTCGCATATAATTCCATTATATTGACAACGATGTGTGAACAAAACAAACAGACATAATAGGTAAAAATTTCACAAATAGGGATTCAGCATTCAACATCCCATATGTAGGCGAAGTTGGTATAATGCTACTAAGGTGGGGGAATTTAATAATTTCAAAATTAAAATTGTCTCGTTTTTCATAGATTCTGGTATTGAGATTTCAAATTCAACCAAAACATTTACTTATTGACAAAGTTACAGCAATGTGTATGAACTATTTTGTTTTAAAATGTAATATTTTCTTGTATGTTCTTTCTGACAGGGCCCGAATTAGTGGTTTTATACCATTACATCAATCGATCAAATTTACCATGAATAGTAATGAGAAACAACTTTGTTTTGTTGACATCCTAATTTTAGCAGACGGGGTAGCATAACACACCTCTATTGTAAAGATATTGAAACTCATTAATATTATATATACATTGCGTTTTTGTTAAAATATACTTTTACACTTTTTTGGTCTTTTAGAAAATGTTGTTTGTGCTGTATTTAGACCTCTCTAACAAGAAATTTGTTCTGCATGCACACGTATAAAAATTGCGGTTTTTATCCAACGCAATCATAGGTTTGAACGTTGTTTTCAATTTAGACTTGTTTATATAAATATATTCAATTTAGACTTGCTTATATATATATATATATAACCATCCTATCCATTACATACAGAGAGACTTAAACGCATCAATACGTGAAAAAAGACTAAGAGATTTGAAACATTATTTTTGCAAACAAGTTGCTAAAAAATCTCAATACTTTAGCATTAATCAGATCAGTGGGCGTTTCATAGGTACGAACGTTGTTTTCAATTTAGACTTGTTTATATTTTTTCGTTTGGGCTTGTATTATATTTGCCTCCTGGTTTATATGATCCGTTCATCCTATTTTGACTCCTCAAAATTCAAGAGTCTATCCCAAATTGAGGTAAATTATGTGGCCTTCCAATAACCGTTTCGATTCCTAACATCACTGAAGAGACATTAATTGTCGAAATCCGGATATGGTGTACAAAAAATCTTTGCACCTTTGTTTGCGGTATACCATCTTTGCCGCAAGTTTATTGTTTTCTGTTTGGTATTAAATTTATAGTTAAGATCCATTTATTACACTTTGTGATCCGTTTATCTGGCAATCGCCAATGGCAGTCAGCAGGGTTTAAGAACATTTGTTGTTCGACCTGTTAGTCAATTGCGTTTTTGTTAAAATATACTTTTTCACTTTTTTGGTCTTTTGGAAAATGTTGTTTATGCTGTATTTAGAACCCTCTAACAAGAAATTTGTTTTCCATGCACACGTATAAAAATTGCGGTTTTTATCCAACGCAATCATAGGTTTGAACGTTGTTTTCAATTTAGACTTGTTTATATATATATATTCAATTTAGACTTGTTTATATATATATATATAACCATCCTATCCATCACATACAGAGAGACTTAAACGCATCAATACGTGAAAAAAGACTAAGAGATTTGAAACATTATTTTTGCAAACAAGATTGCTAAAAAAGCTTAATACTTTAGCATTAATCAGATCAGTGGGCGTTTCCAATTCAGATTTTAGACATCCGAAGGAATCCAATTGTTAAGAAAAACGTAATACTGTTGGTCGGTGCTCACAATCGTCGAACCCTGTCGGTATTGCATTTTGAAGAATAACACTTTTGGTATCCATTTTTTTTTTAATTCAACCTGTCGCAGTATTTAATTTCCAGTCATTTTACCATTTTCGTCAATGAAATTACCAATCTGAATTACATAGCTTTTGATCAAAGAGGGACGAAAGATACCAGAGGGACAGTCAAACTCATAGATCGAAAACAAACTGACAACGCAATGGCCAAAAATAAAAAGACAAACAGACAAATAATAGTACAGATGACACAACATAGAAAACTAAAGACTAAGCAACACGAACCCCATGAAAAACTTGAGGTGATCTCAGGTGCTCCGGAAGGGTAAGCAGATCCTGCTCCACATGTGGCTACCGTCGTGTTGCTTATTTTATTACAAATCCGGTAAATAGTCTAATTCGGTAAGTCACATTCGTGAAAAGGGAAGGGTATTGTAGTTACGACATAAGGAACATATCCGATATCATCTGTGAAACGGTTATTCCATAACGGTCAACCAACTCGTGATCAACTTTGACATAATATCTGCACATATTTTTAATTTGGGTTTTAGTACACCAGATAATTTCTAACGTTTTTTGTTTTTTTTTCGAACGTTGTTTTACCTCAATCTCTATTTATTTAGCAAATTCACCAAAACAATGAATTTCAACATATTTGTAAACCAATCTTTCAATGTTTTCCAAGTTTTCAAATTGGCTCTAGTGTTCTGATACACTTTTCATTTTGTGTTTTAAATAAGGTGACGACATCAAATATATTCAGTTTCTTATTCCACACAATGAAAACATATACTTCTAAAACGTGTACAACACCAATATAAATGAATGAAAATGTAACAAAATATATCAATAAATATTTCAGACAATTTAAATAACTATATCGAGATACTTCCATTCAGAACGAAAGGTCATTCTTTTGAAGAAACTTCCCGGACGATACCACGATTCTATTAAATGTCACTGATATCACTGATATCACTGTTCCAGTTTTCAGTAAACTTAGGGTATCGTTGTCTTTTTGTATAGTGATTAATATTGTTACACAATGTTGACTGCTGTACCCCTATTTCAACATTTTTGGCTATTATGTTTGTTTGTTTTGTTCATACATCGTTGTCAATATAATGGAATTTTATGCGACTGTCATACAAGTGAGAGGTTAAGCTAGCTATAAAACTAGGTTTAATCTACCATTTTCTACATAAGAAAAAACCTGTATCAAGTGAATTTTCCTGAGAGTTCGGTATGTTTGTTATTTTACTCCAGTTGATAATAATCGTGTGAAGTTGCCAGTTTTCTACACAATCTTTCATCTTTAATATTCTTTTAAGGTTTTAGGCAGGATACCATTTATTATATTAAAAAAAAACATTATACCCCTTTTATAAAGTAATATAAGAAATAACTTACCAAGTGACTTGGGTTTCTTTTCATATTTTAAAACAATTGTTTATTTTATGGTTTTGCAATAACAGTAAAATTTAACTTTCAAGCTTATCTAACTTTTCACTGACACAGAAAATATTCTTGTCACTTGTCAAGTATTTCTTAAGGCTGAATTTATTGCAACCTATTTATCTATGTGGTATATTGCAGCGTGTTCAAATGGTTGTTTTGCCATCTGCAGTTAAAATTCAAGAGTTAAAAGTTAAAGAGTTATTTATTCTCTGATCAATTTCTCCTCTGATATCACTGATATCACTGTTCTATTTTTAAGTAAACTAAGGGTATCTTGTTGATCATTTGTGTAACATTCCGTTAGTATATATGTTAGACTCAGATCGACGTCCGGCCTCTATTCGACGTTCGTTCCTCAAATCGACGTCCAAATCTGACGTAACGTTCTCAAATCAGTGTCAAATATTTTAACTCTGTAATCGACGTCTAATGTGACTTTATGAATCACAAAAAAGACATCTGATCGATGAGAGTCTCCTCTCATTGCGATGTCTATAAATTTCATGGAATTATTTAATTTCAAATTGATATTTGTTTATATATATTATCTGTATCTTTTTGTCTTTTTGTGAAAAAAAAATGAAAATAACACGTTGAAAATTTAAAGCGTTCGAAGCGCTTTTTTGGATTTACCTTCATCAATAACAAGTAGTTTACAAAAACTTTAACCGTTTTCTCTTATTGGTATTAAAATAAAAATGACATTTAACATCAGAAAATATCAATAAGACGATCACCGACTTCATATTACTATAAAATCTACATGCGTATGTATATTTTGGTGAAAGACGTTCATATTCTCGATCTATGTTGTCGTTTTCCTTTTTTGTTCATTGTCAAAATCTTAAAAAGTATTCTTTTTTTGGACTTATATTTTTCAACAACTTTTTGAGTTTTATGTTCAACCCATCCTTTAATTAAGATGAGATTTCACTGCCATAAGTCCATAAAATGGACGTCGATTAGAGAAACACAAAACAGACGTCGATTAGAGCGGCATGAAATTGGTCGTCGATTTAGAATGTTATTCTATTGTGACGTCAGATTTGGACGTCGATTTGAGGGATGGACGACGACTAAAGACCGGACGTCGATCTGAGTCTTACATATATGTAATTTTTACATGATTGAAAGTATAGTTTATGTTGCATTGGCGTTTGTTTTTGTTGCACTTCAGTATTTCTGTTGTTCCGTTGTTTTCCTCTTATAGTTGATGTGTTTCCCTCGGTATTAGTTTGTAACCCGGATTTGTTTTCTCTCAATCGATTTATGACTTTTGAACAGCGGTAAACCACTGTTGCCTTTATTTAACGGTCATATAGAAGTGAGATGTTTGGCTAGTTTTAATCCACCATTTTCTTCATAAGAAAATGAGTCAGGAATATGACAGTTGTTATTTATTCGTTTGATGTGTTTGAGCTTTTGAATTTGCCATTTGCTTAGGGACTTTTCGTTTAGAATTTTCCTCGGAGTTTGATATTTTTGTTATTTCACATTTAGAATTGACTTTTATATACTTTTATAATTTATACCAATAGTCTTGTAAGCTACCTGATAGTTATCCGTTGTTTAAATTGAATTTTCAGAATTAATTCTTTGGATATTGAATCCTAAACAAACAAAGAAATTATGTTTTAGATGCTTAACAATTGCATGTCGATTCAATAAATAGGAACTCTCGCTAAAAATATGGAATGTATTACATGTACTAAATATTGTTAATGTAGATAAGGTTGTTTGCTATCTTGAATCGGAAAACAGGATAAAAACCTATCAAAACTTGTAATAAAAATAGCAAATTGTGAGGTAAACTTTAGTTCAATTATTAATACATTACTACGACTGTATTTTTTCGAATACAGAAAAATGTTGATTTCTATTAAATGTATCAAATATACAAATTTATATCTAATATTATAGGGTTAGTTTTTACTACAGGTATATACAAGAAAAATGGATGAAATGATAATTATGATGATAAGTAACCAGAAATTTAATGCAATGTATGTACACTTCCAAATAATGTTATATTTATAGTATTAGCGTTTAAAAGATAAAGGCCGTATTTGGTCGTACTAGAATAATTCATGCGTATTTTTTAGAAAATGATAGTAAACCACAATGAATACCTTGCGTTTTCAATTACACCATTTCACAAAATGTATCGATTTTTCCGATATTCAGAAAAATCATGTGATGATAAAGTGTATGCATGATTTATTTTATAGTATTCCAGTTCAAGAAATTGTTTCATGTTTAAATGAAAATGAAAGATATTCCATGATTAAAACATGTTGGATCTGATTAAAATTATTTATACTTTTATCACTTTATCTTATAGCTTAAATAATATAATCAATAAATAAGTACATATATTTCTTATGTAGAAAATGGTGGATTAAACCTCATAGCTAGCTTAACTTCTCACTTGTATGACAGTTGCATGAAATTCCATTATATTGACAATGATGTGTGAAATACTGATTTTGTTTGATAAAAAATTTACTGTTATTAAATTTTGGAAATTATTCAAAATAAGGGAATATATCTTCCTCCGGCTAAGCTTTAATTCCTTGACGGGTTAGGCTCTACTTAAGGTCCTTTTGGTTTTATCAGCTCTTCAGCGCCTGTATTAATTTTAGATTTTCAAATATCACTGAAAAAGATATAATAACAAACATATCGAACTCCAAGGAATAAAGAGACATTTCATGTCAAAATGCTCATTCGGTGCAGAAAAGTTGGTATCGTAAATGCTATTTTGATGTGCTTTTTTTTTTAGGACGAAATCCCAAACCAAAAACGACAACTCATCAGGGAATTGACAAAGTTATTTCAAAGCCATAACCAAAAAGAACATATACTATACGACCGAATCTTTTTCATCAATGCAACCCAACCAGATGACCAAGAAATAGAACTTCTCAAAGATACTTTAGTGGAAATTGCATTTCAGCAATCTACTTGGGGACAACGAATGCCGGTCGCATGGGTACCACTAGAACTACAATTATCGGAGATGCGAACAAAGGGCATTAACCTCATTACTAAAGAGGAGATTCAAAATATGAATCGATCAAATTCTGAGTTCATGCTGAACGTATCCCAGCTTGAAGAGTTTTTAAAAATTCAACACTCTCTTGGAAAAATTATGTACTTTGACCAACCTGGCCTTCATAATTTCATCGTTGTGCAACCTACAGCAATGGTCAATATTTTGAGGTCTTTTATCACCGACGAAAATTTTTGGCCGAAGAATGATGTACTTAGACAGATTCTAGGTATCATGGTTAATACGGGTACGGTTAAAAAGAAAGAGCTGTTTGACTTATGGTCACAGCCACAGTTTCAGGAATTTTTGCCTTCCACTGAACACAAGGAATATATTGTACAAGTCTTAGTGTATCTGGATATTCTTGTCGAACCGAAACGAGAAGATAAACAAGATTCAAGAAATGAGACATATTTGGTACCATGCCTTGTAAAGAGTAGAATACCAGACAAGTTCCTGAAGTTTGAAGAACAAAAAACAATATGTTTGGCATATAAACTCACGAAAAGCATTATTCCTGCCGCTCTTAGCTTTAAACTCATCGCCGCAGCAGTCACAACATGGCCACTTAAAGTAGTAAAAGGGCGTAATTGTCTTTACTCTCAATCGTCTATTATGACTGTTGATAAAGAAAACGAACTTTTATTTCAAATAAAAGATGACAGAGTTATTATATGTCTCAGCAATATATTTTCTAGGTATAATATATCTCCTGATATAGCTGCCAGTATCCAGGACTGTTTGGTGTTAGCTCTCGAACGAGTTCTTCTTTTTTATCATGATTGCTTTGGTCGATCAACCGCGAATTTAGATGTGAAGAGTCTTTATGCAATCAGGGTTGGAGTAATATGTCAAAAACGAATGTGCTTTTTGTCATTGTCCAAAGCCAAAAGGAGGCAGACATGGATTTGCCAAAGGGAACAGAAACACGAAACAGAGTGTTGTTTATACTGGGTGTTTGACCGGGTATGTATAATCTTTCAAATCATAAATATTCAATAAAAAATCTAAACATTTAATGTTTTTCATATTCTTTAAATATGTTTTCATTCATTGCATTTATTTTTTAAAACGGAATTTAATTGCCATAGTATGAACTGTAACAGCCGGTTGACAAAAATGTTATCAATTTACAATATTTCTATATTTTTAAGAACACAAGAACATGCGGTACGATGTGTAAAGGTGAGTATAAACATGTGCACATATATTGTTTAAGCTAGTTGTTAATGACAACTTTAGGCTAATCATGTTATCCATACGTCCGTCTTTTGGTCCGTTGCAATTTGTTTGCGCACTTAATCTTTAAAGTCAATTTCAGTTTATTTAAAACATGCTACAATCCGTTTTCGTACAATAAGGAAACAGTTCAATTCAAGCCATGTAAACAAGTTTATATCCGAAATTAGTTATACTATTAAGTAATTTTTGGTCAGACCTTTAATGTTTGTACATTGCTTTTGGTTTTGATATTAAAACATGTTTGCCTCAGACATCAAATATGATGCATTACATGTTGAAAAACGCCTCTTGTGAAGTGAATTTGGTATCATAAATGCATGCGGGTCTTATCAGTCTAATAGCTTAAATCTTCCAGACTGGTATCAAGATACACATGATGATACGGATATTGTTTCATTTGGGTATATTGAACAAAAGAAATATTCCTGAACTAAGGAATGCACCCCTCGTGCATTATTCTGCTTTTTATTCTGTATTTGGCTATGCATGTTTGGCATTTTCCGTTCTATTAGCTTTTGAAAGTTTGCATTTTCAAACTTGTTCGCCTTTACCAATACTGAAAAGAAATAAAATTTCAACATGCTAATCTGCTGAAGTAAATTAAATTTTGTTCAGCAAATATTTTATGTCAATTCTATAGCGTTAGTTCAATACCGTTGCTAGCTGTATATAGTGGGCTACTGGTCCCCAATGGTAGCATTTCCTCCATAGTCAGTTCTAACATGATTTATACCCCAATTGACCTTAATTCTTTGTTGACTTGTTGTTTTAATAAATTTTGGTCCCATGTCTTTCATGCATGGTTGACCGTTATGGAATATCCATTTCACAGATGATATCGGATATATTACTAATGTCGTAACTACATTCCCGTTCCCTTTTCACGAATGTGACTATTTACGGGGTTTGTAATAACATGAGCAACACGACGGGTGCCACATGTGGAGCAAGATCTGCTTACCTTTCTGGAGCACCTGAGATCACCCTCAGTTTTTGGTGGGGTTCGTGTTGCTTAGTCTTTAGTTTTGTATTGTGTACTATTGTTTGTCTGTTTGTCCTTTTTTTTTAGCCATGGCGTTGTCAGTTTATTTTCGATCTATGAGTTTGAATGTCCCTCTGGTATCTTTCGCCCCTCTTTCACCCTTATTGAATTATTTATACGTTATTGGCGTTCACAATTTTCGAGTTTACGTATTGCTTATAAAGTTTAGGCCAGAAAAGCGCAGTACATGCACCAAATATATAAATTGCTATTTCCGTTTTTTTTGTTCAACTTAGTCAAACTCTGTATATCATAATTGTATTTTGTTTATTGTTAAGAGTTAGGGACTGAAACTTTGCTTAAGTATTAACTACTTTTACATTTTGTTGTGTACATGGAATGAATTCAAACGTATTGGGTAAAGTCGAAAGGTTAATTAAACTTAGATATCACCGTATGTAAATATGAACACACATGATAACATGAAGATCGGAGTGAAGACGTCAGACACTGTACTTCATGAATCAAACTCCATAAGAAGAAAAACCTTATGGAAAAATGTTGTTTGTGCTGTATTTAGACCCCCTAACAAGAAATTTGTTTTGCATGCACACGTATAAAAATTGCGGTTTTTATCCAACGCAATCATAGGTTTGAACGTTGTTTTCAATTTAGACTTGTTTATATTTTTTCGTTTGGACTTGTATTATATTTGCCTTCGGGTTTATATGGTCCGTTCATCCTATTTCGACTCTTTCAAAATTCAAGAGTCTATCATAAATTGAGGTAAATTATATGGCCTTCCAATAACCGTTCCGATTCCTAACATCACTGAAGAGACATTAATTGTCGAAATCCGGATATGGTGTACAAATTTTTGCACCTCATGTTTGCGATATACCCTCTTTTCCGCAAGTTTATTGTTTTCCGTTTGGTAATAAATTAATAATAAGATCCATTTTTTACATCTGGTGATCCGTTTATTTGTCAATCGCCAATGGCAGTCAGCAGGTTTTAAGAACATCAGTTGTTCGACCTGCTAGTCAAATGCGTTTTGTTAAAATATACTTTTTCACTTTTTCGGTCTTTTGGAAAAATGTTGTTTGTGCTGTATTTAGACCCCTCTAACAAGAAATTTATTTTGCATGCACTCGTATAAAAATTGCGGTTTTTATCCAACGCAATCATAGGTTTGAACTTTGTTTTCAATTTAGACTTGTATATATATATATATATATATATATATATATATATATATATATATATATATATATATATATATATATATATATATATTGCAATATCACTTCCTTTTTAATTTTGTATTGTGAATAGATATAGGATAATTGGATATCAAGTACATATCGTATTTACATGGATGATGAAACGCTCTAAAGCAGAAACAACTTTATTAAATATGAAAAAATATCTTTAAGTAAGATAGTTTGCACTGTAGTTTTAATCACAAATTACCATCATTTATTCCCACTTTCAAAAGACTGCTCAAGTAAAGGCATCAATCTAATAAAAACTTATTGATTTCATTTTGACCATTTCTTAACAGAACATCAAAATAAAACATAAAAAAGATAAGACGACTTATCAATTTACAAAAAAACACGCATTCGTATGATTTTTTTTTATTAAGTAAATGGTGTATGTCTTTATTCATAGGTCCTCCAAAGGAACTTTTATCTTTGAGTCCAACTGACAAACACTTGGTTAGATTAGCTACACAGTTAAGTGTCAACGAGTTCGAGGAGTTCTTTATTTCTCTAGATATGACACGTGCTGATTTAGACGAAATTGAACATTGTTACCCACGAACTGAGATAATGTGCAGGAAATTGATGGCATTATATAAATGGAAAAAGAAAAATGAAACAATCAGACTACAGGATTTATTAGACGCTCTTACAGAAATAAAGAGGCCTCATTATCTTTGCCAGGTTGTATTTACGACATTCTTTTGATATTTCATCACATCTACATTGCGTTAATTAACCTATATTAAAATTGTAACCAGTGTTCCAAGTCAGGAATGTGACAGTTGTTATTCGTGTGTTTGATATGTTTGAGCTTTTGATTTTGTCATTTGAGTAGGGACTTTCCGTTTTGAATTTTCCTCGGAGTTCGGTTTTTTTGTCTTTATTTTACTTTTTTGTATTCATTTATGTTGTTTTTTTATTATTTTGAAGAAAATAGTTTAATTTTCTTATTAACCAAGCAATGCAATGAATTGTTCTTTAAAATTTTTCAAAAATGAAATTGATTTGTGTAAGTCATGAACCCTTTCAAGGAACCTGATACTGTTATTCTTTTTATTTCATTTTCCTTGACATGACATTTCTGGTTGATGTTTTTAAATCGGCTGCAAGGTCTTATATGGGTTCTAGATAATTTTAAGGTTCTCTTTACTTTCCAGAATATATTCTTGAGTTGTGCTATAGTTTAATATTATGTTTATATTTTCTGTTTAAGATTTGCAACTACGTGTTAATGTTGTTACACATTCGGGGCGAGACACTTATGTAATTTCTTAACATAACATGTTTCTATAAATTGCTCTAATATTAAAATAGAATATACAAATTATAGATACATGATTTTTTATGAGTTGTTATTGTCTTTGATTTAGCGAGCGATCAGTAACTGCGAGTACTCTAAGATCTGTATTTTGTTTTTTTTAAATTTTATTTTAGGGATGTATAAATACCCTGCCAGGTACAGTCTGTGTTTTTGTTAGATGTTTTTCTGCTTGTAAAGTGCCGCTCGAAGTCATGAGCATGTAATTCAGTGGTGGTTTTTGGTTCATGTCTGTCATTTTTGTTTTTCCTACATTCTTTTTTTATATATATATAAATTAATCTGTTATTTTTCTGAATTGAATGCTTTCATTTTTTTTTAAATCGAGGTCTTTTATAGCCGACTATACAGTATAGATTTTACTCATTGTTAAAGGCAGTATAGTTCCCTATAAGATGTTTAATTACTTACATACACTTCATTTGAACTTTGGTGGATATTTGTTTCATTGGCAATCATACCACATCTCTTTTTTTATAATATTGAACAAGGAATATGAAATCTTATATTTCCCACTTTTAATTACTCGAATGAAACAAGTATAACAATACAACCACAACCTTCACGATAAATTCAAAATACTATCAACCGACTTATTTTCGCAGATACTTCATTTCGCGTTTAGCCTTTTTTATCCCAATTCGCGGCGATCTAATTTCGCGATTTTCAAATTGACTTGATGTAGTTAGACAAGGAAAGACCCAGGTTTTAAATGTTTGCGTAATTATTCCTTTTGCAAAAGTTGCGAAAATAAATCGCTCTCAAAAATTAGTTGGTTAACAGTTATCAAAATATGCATCTAAAGTTTTACAGTAGTAGTATTACGACATTCTTCTTCATTAATTCGAAATACTTTTACATATTTGTTTTAACATAAGGAAAGCATTTATAAATTGTGCCATTCACTTATGAAACTGTGTTCATACATAAGAAAATTATACTTCATGATTGCTCGTAACTTTTGTGTCTTCAAAGATATACTGAAAAAAAATAATGTAGTAACTATGTTGTAACGAATTTTTATTTTGTAGATATCAAGAGAACAAACAAATTTGTTCAGTGAGTATACATAACAGATATACACGACCTGTGTCAACAATTAACTAATATCTATCGCTCTTCGCTGTACATGTTTCCTTCTACAAATCTCCGTTTTTCTTTTGCATATCACAATTGTATGATGTCAAATACGCTTTGCCCAGCCTTACTTATATCAACCCGATACTCATTGAGGTCATTCTGTTTCAGCTATCGTTGATAAGTTTGGCCCAAATCTATCAAACATTCCTAAATTGTTTTTATAAAGAAAAACCCAGGAATACAATCCAGAGCAAAGTCTTGTTTATCGGAACAGAAAACAGTGCCTTTCTACGCTACGGTCATTACTATTCCTTTTCGTTCTTGGAATTAACATAAAAGAGATTGATGGAAATCTCTCGTTTTTATACTAGATAACTTAAATTCAATCACAACAATCCTTTTAAAGAACGATATGAAGCCGGATTGTCTAGATGTGCATAGAAGTATCTTTTGTCATATCTTTTAAAGGATAAAATTCTTACCTCAAACTTATACAGTATCAATATTAATCTAATGGGTCTGCTAAATTAAATTACAATTCAATTCAATTCAATATGTTATTGCAGTTAAACACTTTTTACTGTTTATAACAAAAGCAAAAGACTGATATCCAGTTGAAATTACACACAAAAAATCAAACTCGTATTTGAATTGTTTACATGTGTTTCTATGGCCTTTAAAAGTTTGCATCTCTGGCCCAAACAGCATTTTTTTGGGAAAGAAATCCAAAAATTGACAATAATCTTATCGAAAAAAAAAACAATCGGGTCTGTCATTACGTTAAGGCGTGTTATTGTTGACTATTGTGACTATAAAAGTTACACACCAAACATATTTGATCCAGTATTTCGGTTCAGGTGTTATTGTACTTTTAGATATGCAGGCTACATGTTGATATAATGCCATTAAACATTCAAAGTACCAAAAAATAAATAAATGGGACAAGTGAAATAACAAAAAAATCTTCGTGCAACTACAAATGTTAAAACTTTTTATAAATAAGAAGATGTGGCATGAATGCCAATGACACAACTCTTTAAAAAAGTCACAATGTATAAAATGTTAAAAATTATAGGTCAAAGTACACTTTACAATGAGTATACTTATTACTTGTATTTTTTTTTAAATGTTCGTGAACTCATTTTGTTAATAAGAATTTAGGCATATTAATTATTTTTTTCATGAAATGTACTCAAAAAGAAACGTCGGACACTCCGTTCATTAACAACCGCCTTCAATCTTACTAAAAGCTCATTACGACAAACTTTATCCTGTATGCATAACTTCAAAATGAATTGTATTTATGTGTGTTATCTGAGAATTATAGTCTTCCATGTCTGAAGATTTTTTGTGTGCTCTCCAAAGAAATATTTCAATAGAATTTTTTTTCGTGTTTTTAAAACTTTAAAAGATCGCCCCTAATAAACGATCAGACAATAGTTTTAGGTTGACAAAAAACGTACAATAAATGATGCTGTATAGTTAATCTATCCATTTGTTTTAAATACAATTGTCTTTTAATGATCGTAATGATGACGTGTGAATAGATTTATCTTTTTTTGAAGAGCTAAATTGACAACAAATCTTCTCTTCAATGTCTACATTTTTAAAGTTTAAAAAGTAGGTTGCCTAGAAAATGAACATGATAATGTTAGAAACGATCCGATTCTTTACTTCCTCCCCATTTTGACTGGAATCGGTACTTTTACTTATCACGTCTACGGCAACACACCGTAGCATTGCTTAGATGCCTTACCCCTCATCTAACTATAGCTGATTAAAATGCAGCTTTCGTTTCGGAGTTTTTACTTTCTCGTAGGTATTGAACAAGGACGACTAATCACAATACAAGAAGTATTTTTACGTGTACATGAACAATCATCTACTAATCTCTTTTGTATCATTGCAGGATTATATTCTATTTTAGCATGCAATCACTATGCATTATATTTAGATATGTCTGTCTATGTGTAATTAAAACTGCAAACTATATACCTTTTATATCTGATTTCTTAGGACTAAGAAATACCAGCGTTCGAAATATTAAGTGCCTATGATATAAATATATAGTAACTATTATACTTGCTGTTTGGTCATTTCCAAAGACTTATCTTTCTAACGAGGACGATGGGTCGTTTTAAAAAACGGTCCTGTACAAAATAAAGAACTCATATACGCATGCAAAGAGTACGAAACAATACCGATATTACCCTAGAGGCTCTGAATAGCCTGTGTCGCTCACCTACATGTAGGTCTATGTGCATTTTCAACAATGGACACTCTCCAACATTGTGGACTAGAGTAAAATTCATGACAGAATTATATCTTGTTTGTAGATCTTGTTTTACTGATCATGTTTCTGTTTCTCAATACCCTCTATCTACTTTACTTTTCGCCAAAAACACATTAATAGGCAAAACAAAATCCACATTCAGGGGCAATCACTCCCATCAAGAGTCTACGATTTCGGCAACATTTGGTTTATTTGCAGATCTTGACTTGCTGTTCAATTTTGCAATTTAAAGTGCATATATATCTACCATACCTTTTCAAGATAAAAACAAGAGGCTCTGAAGAGCCTGAATCGCTCACCTGTTATTTAATTGCTTAAGTCTTTCATCAATGATTATTTTTGCTTTTCAACATATACTAATGAGTGGCTAAAAATGCCATTTAAATGTTCTTTGTATCTGTCATATTTTCTTCAGCAAAAAAAAAAATGCATGTTACCCCTTTGTTTTATTTCAGCCATGGTGGCTATGTTTCTTAACGTACAAGGAAATAAGATACAAAATTTATACCAGATACTCTGTAACTCATTCAGCCCAAGTTTCGCTGAAATTTATTCAGCAGAATCAAAGGAGAAGATTTTTTAAAGTTAGAAAGCATGATTAACAAATTGTGTAAAATTGTCCTTAAAGGACAATAACTCCTAAAGGGGTCAATTGACAATTTTGGTCATATTAACCTATTTGTAGATCTAATTTTGCTGAACATTTTTGGTGTTTACAGTTTATCTTTATCTATAATTATATTCAAGATAATAACCAAAAACTGCAACATTTCCTAAAAAAAATATCAATTTAGTGGCAGCAACCCAACAGATTCATCTGAAAATATCAGGGCTGATAGAAATTGACCTAATGAACATTTCACCCCTGTCAGATTTGCTCTTAATAATTTAATTTTTGGGGTATAGGCCAAAAACTGCATTTTACCCCTATGTTCTATTTTTAGCCATGGCGGCCATGTTTTTTTGACGAAACAGAAAATAAAACACAAAATTTATTCTAGATACACTGATGATCATTGGTTGGAATTGGTTCAGTAGTTTCAGGGGAGAAGATGTTTGCAATAGTTAACACCGTACTGACGACGACGACCGCCAAGTGATGGCAACAGCTCACCTAGGAAAGGTGATCTTAAAAACGCAAAAGTTGGTTAAAATCCCTATCACAGAGTAAGAACAGTAAAAAAGATCCGGCTTACGATTAAACACATAAAATCGTCATTAAAGAACTATTACTTCAGTAAGGTCATTAATTTTATTTGTAGATATTGTCCTACCGATCATATTTGAGTTTTAATCTAACTATTCTTCGGAAATAATGCAAAAACGCAAAAATGGTTAAAAATCGGCGTTAAAGGGCAGTTACTGCAACAATCTCAACCATCCTTGTCTTATTTGTAGATCCTATCTTGATGATAACTTTGTCATATATATGTTTTGTTTATCTTTTATTGTTTTTCTAATATAAGGCAAAACTCAAAAAAATTGTAACAATCGTCATTAAAGGGCAATAGCTCCAAATAAGGAGTCGTCTGACGATTTCGACAATTTTAACGTATTTGTAAGTCTTGTCTTATCAGTCTTTTATAATAATGAAAGTTTCTCTCTATTCAAGTTTTCAAGATAATAGTCAAAATGAAAAGCAACTGGTAAAATTCGTGATCTAAGGGTAATAAACCCTTTAAGAAGTAGTCTGATAGTTTTGATGTGAATAAAACATACGTTTTTGTCAGCATTCTGATCATTTTGGTCGCTGTTAAATTTTCTCTTTTCATAGCCGTTTTCAAGATATCAGACAAACGTTATATTTTAACAATATGTTCTGTTTTTAGTTATGTCGACCATGTTATTTGGTAAACATGGTCATCGGACACACTTGTGAAACTAAAAACACTAGCGTTAATTGTGTCCAAGTTTTATTAAATTTTGCCCACTTTTACAGAAAAAGATTTTGTAAAAAAATTTAACACTGACGAACGACGTAGTACGACGGCAGCCATTGATGCGTAAAGCTCACCTGACACTATGGGCCGGATTTGCATAAAAGGAAACGGAAAATACAAGTAAACATGAATATTTCAGATTAAAGATATCCTTTACCAGAATCAAGCAAAATGAATCTTATCAAACTGTTCGGCTTCGGCTAATACAATCTTGAACGTAATGCAAATTAAAAACAAAAACCCTTTCTGCAAATTCGATGTTTACAACAGAGGCTGCAAATGAAACTTTTACAACCAGCTGCATTGGTAAGTTCTCTGCGATTTGAAGTACACCTTTTCATTGATCTCATTTGGTGCCACGATTTCAATTTTCCTATTCCAAATCTTTCCCGTGTTATTCTCTTCTTCCGTAGACCAAACAGTGTTGTGGTCAATGATGGTAATAGTCAGTTGATTGTGGTCTGCTATTTAAAAATTTATTATTGTCACTAACAAAACATTTCTCTTAAGTGTACCTTGTGATTCTTATCCCAGGAAATAACTGATCACTTAAATCTGCAACATCCGTTTATAATGAAACCGACAGTAGGGATCCGCTGTTAGGAAGCTTTAATCCCATAGAGATATTATAGTGTTGACGTACAATTTAAGTAATCATACTTTGATACCTGTGATTAGTTACATGCACAAATTGATTTAACTATTTCATTCAGAAACAAACAAATTTCAATATGCAAATATCGAATATACATGTAGATCAATATTCTATTCTCTTATGACCACTGGGAAAAGGTAAAACATAAAGATAGTTTAAATGAATAAATAAAGGGGAAGCTAGTTAACCGATGATTAATCTCGAAATTCGATAAATAAAAGAGAAATCAAGGTAACACACAAAAACTCAGGCAGAGTTATCGTCTCCTGTTATGCATGCATCCTCTAACATTCGAATCCGTTTTCAATCAAAATATCATAACTCTGGAATAGGACACAAGCGATAAAATTACCGTCTTTACTGGTATCTAAACATCTAAAAGTGCGAATATATGCTGGTGAGTTTGGACATAGACACATCGTATCTGCCAACCAATTTGTTATAGCGTCCATTAATCTCATACAAAGCCGATTTCAGTCGTTCATCCTTAACTCTGTCATTTTACCGATTATGTTCTATCAGAATGAATCATTGTGCCTTTTTTCCTCTTTTGCATTACTTCAGTGTTGTCATCTAATTGCCTTTAAAGCAAACTACATCCAGTGAATTTTAGTTTGTTCATTGTTGAAGTCCATACGGCGACTTTTTATTAATCAAGTCTCTGTCCTTTGGTATTCATAGGCATGTGTCTCATCGGCACTCATTTTACATTTCTAACTTTCGTATTTTCAAATAATTAAACGTATATCTTCATTTTTTTAAAGAAATTTCAAAACGTGTAGAGATATAAGTGGTTACAAGCTTCGGGAGGGTTTGTGGTTGATTTTCATATAAAGACATAATCTTTTGATCAGTTTAATTGATGTCTGGAGCTGGATGTCTGTAACTTCTAGTAGTCACTTAGTAATTTATGGTTATCATTTTCATTTTGATTAGCTTCTTCTGTTACCTGTTCTATCGCCGGACTCGGACTCCTTTTAAGCTGAATTTTATTGCACCTATTTTTGTATGCATTTGTCTTCCACATTGACAAGAGATATAGTTGAGGGTTGAGATCCAGATCTCACAACACATATTTAATCCCGTCAAATGTTTGGACCTGTCCAAAGTCAGGAACCCTTAGCCTTTGTTAGTTTTGACTTGTATTTTTTTTTTTCCTTTATATGTTTCGGAAATCAGTGTGGCGTCCATTTCACTGAACTAGTATACAGTATTATTGTAGGGGAAAGCTGAATATTGGACAGGCGATACCAACATCATAATAACATGATAATATAGACAAATAAACCATGCATGGTCCTAATAGCCCGACTTGGTAAAGGCACAACATGTGATTTTAGTCTCAAAACTTTTTTCGTTTTCTTATCTTGACCATTTGGTGTCATTTATTTTTTCATTTATAATTATTAGACAAAGCAGAAAGTCGACAAATATCACCAACGGATGAAGTCCTACAACAATTGTCTCGCCAGCTAGGAAACTGTTATACACACCTTGGTATTGAACTAGGAATAAGCTTCAGCAGTATCGAAGAAAGCATGTACAGATTCCCAAAAGATATGTATGATCTAATATATGACATACTGAAAAAATGGAAAAAACAGGAAAATGCAACAGTTCATATTCTTATGATTGCTCTCCAGCGAGTAGACTGTGGAGGACTGAGATTCCTTCAAGAGGAATACAAGTAGAAAATATAAAAATGTTTTACATTTTATATTGTAAAATTATGTGAACAATACAGTATTGACTACAATCTGTCAATACCTATATTTTGGCATAGTTCAAGGTCGTGTTTTTTTGTTACCATTAATGACGTCTTAACACTAACTCCAATGGATATTTTTGATAGTCTTAGATACATGATTTTTTATAAGTTGTCATTGGCTTTGAACTAGCTGTCAGTAACTGCGAGTACTCTCAGATCTGTAGGTAGTGTCGTTTTTGTTGTTAGGGAAGAGGGAGATATAAATAACCTGCCACGTCCGGTCTTTAATTGTGTTTGATGTTTTTCTACTGTTTATCGATCTAATGAGTTAAGCCTTTTTCAAGTAATTTTGATAGTTTGTTCTTATGTTGTGCTGTTACAGGGGAGGGTTAGGCACTCACAAACATGTTTATCCCCGCTGCATTCATTATGTGCATGTCCAAAGTCAGGAGCATGTAGGTCATTGGTTGTCGTTAGTTCATGTCTGTCATATTTGTTTTTCTTGATTTGTTTTGTTATGAATTAGGCCGTTAATTTTGTCAATTGAATATATATATATTGTTTCATATTTTTCATGTCGGGGCTTTTTAAGGCCTACAAAACGGTATGGGTTTTTCACATTGTTGAAAACCGTACGGTGGCCTATAATTGCTTACATCCACTTCGTTTGAACTTTGGAGAATAGTTGTTTCATTGGCAATCATACCACATCTCCTTATTTTTATTTCACAATTTGATAAGGGATAAATATATATATATGAATGGGTCTTCAAATACAAAGTTATATTTCCATTGTCAGTTACATTTTTGTATGCCATAATTAAGACTTTAACAAAAAAACGTCTCGTACTTTTTAAAAAAAAGTTCATCCGAAGTTACCAAGACCTTGTTGATAAATATTTTCCCTATCAATTTCACAAATAATACACAATGGTCTTGGAGTATAGATTCTGGGTACTAACGTTGTTTGTCATCTTAATAACTTGTTATAGTATTCTTTTATTTGTCTTTATGAATATTACTTTTACTGTTTAGTCTGGTTTGGTGATATCCATTTGACGTGGCTCTGTACTTATACATTCCGTCATCGTCTAATTGTTCTATGGTAAAACATTTTGTATTCTTGTGTTTCATTTTTGCTAATGAGCTTTGTTTATATGCCTTTTTATGTTTCTTTGTTATATCTAACGTGGCTCTGTACTTATACATCCCGTCATTGTGTTATTGTGCTATGGTAATATGTTTTGTATTCTTGTGTTTCATTTTTGCTAATGTGCGCTGTCTATATGCCTTTTGTGTTTCTTTGTTACATATTTGTTTGTTTTTATAGTAATTAAGATATTATAACACAATGTTGACTGCTGTAACTCTATTTTGACATTTTTACCCATATATTATCTGTTTGTTTTGTTCACACATCGTTGTCAATATAATGAAATTTTATGCGACTGTCATACAAGTGAGAGGATCTAGCTAGCTATAAAACCAGGTTTAATCCACCATTTTCTTCATAAGAAAATGCCTGTACCAAGTCATGAATATAACAGTTGTTATCCATTCGTTTGATATGTTTGAGCTTCTGATTTTGCCATTGGATTACGGACTTTCCGTTTTGAATTTTCCTCGGAGATCAGTATTTTTGTTATTTTACTTTTTAGACAATGTATTAGTTGTTTTGACACAATTTGACTCTAATGCCATAATTTCCATTTTTTCAACTTTGGCAAGGTTTTTTTCCAAGAACATTTCGTCTATATTAGTAGATAAACAGAAATTTCTGGCTGTGTGAAGAGCATTTTTTTCTACTCCGATAACAATGTTTTGTTTAATAAAGTTCATAGATTGAATGTTTAATTTTCAACATTTTGATAATTGAAACAAACCATTTTTGGGCAAAATTGTTTTTAAACCATTTCGCACCAAAAATCAATAGTTACAGTAGAATCTGTTTATCTTATTTACGTTGTGATGATTCATGGTGTATTGACTTTGTATACGCATGTGACTAGCCATTCTTTTATGAAACCCAATATTAAGAGTCTCTAACATATGCTTTATTTGAGGAAAATGGCTTACAAATCTAACAGACTGAGTATAAATGTTTAAATGTAATGTTAATTATTACAAAGTTATATGTATTATACAAATTCAGATACGTTTTTTGTGTGTTTTTCCGTGTCTTGTCTATTTTCATCTGCACTTGGTATCGAAAGTTGATTGCATTTTTATATACATGTAGATCCAAATTTTACAAAGATTTTTTTTATTATGTCTATTTAGGCTATTTTCTGCTCTTTAGTCGGATTGTTGTCTCTTTAACACATTCTTCCATTTCCATTCTCAATTTTACTATTATCTGTCTGTCACTCACACACTGAATACGACATTCATTCATCTCCAAATTACCAAACAATTTTTAGATCTACCTGCTTAATTTGACAAAATATGTTTTTTTTTGTTTATCCACTACTATGCAGTGCAAGTGTTCGTCTTAGTTGTTTTTGACAAATTCATATTGCATTGTTCAAGTTTTTAAGGTTTCGGTTTTATTAAAAACAAAAATCAATTATTTCAATAACAAATGAATAAGATTACAGTAGTATTGGTCATAATAAAGATAAAGTTTAGTATTGCGTAGGGGTTTGGGATTTGATTGTACATGATAGTGTCCTTGCTTAAAACATTTTAGTACTTCAATTCGGAGGACTATAAATGAAATTCATAATATAAGTTGAGATTAATTTCCGTCACGTTCAGGAAGAGACCTCTATGTTTTGTGTTCACATAGTCATAGATCAGGGCCATATAAATACCTAATTTCATGAAATTATGATTTCTTAATGATAAAGTCTATAAAAAAATTTCTATAAATTATCATTTCTATGGAAAAATTACACTTTTAAAACATTTTTTCATTTTTTATTTCAAAAAGTTGTAATTGTACGTTTCCTTTCAAATGGTGTTTGCCTGTTAATGTTTTCTATGTAAATTTATCTGCAGACTACTTTGATTTGACTTTTACTTAAACTACAATAAAAAATGATCTGTCATAATTTTGGCGTTGTTTGTTAAATTAGATTTAGTATATTAAACGATCCGAATATGCTTGGACCTTGCTTAACTTGATTTCTTTTTTGTATATTTATGTGTGATAAAGTAGAAATTCAATTAGACCAATATAAGTCATATATAGATGGTCCAGATAGCCTGAATGGTGCAGACATTTAATATGGTGGTGTTAAACCCTGGTTCATACTTACGTCTATTCTTTATCCATTTCTATGTAGCAACATTCAAGCAGCACCTGCATACGAAGTATATATCTCCCAATTGATACGATATTCCCGGGCTTTATTTCATATCATGATTTCCTTGATAGAGGGTTGCTTCTCACAAGGAATCTTTTAAACCAAGAGTTCCAAATCGTGACGTTGAAATCATCCCTTCGTAAATTTTACGGACGCCATCACGAGTTGGTTGATCGTTATGGAATATCCGTTTCACAGATGATATCGGATATGTTCCTTATGTCTAACTACAATCCCGTTCCCTTTTCACGAATGTGACCTACCGAATTAGACTATTTACCTGGTTTGTATTGACATGAGCAACACGACAAGTGCCACATGTGGAGCAGGATCTGCTTACCCTTCCGGATCACCTGAGATCACCCCCAGTTTTTGGTGGGGTTCGTGTTGATTAGTCTTTATTTTTCTTTGTTGTGTTTTGTGTGCTATTTTTTGTCTGTTTGTCTTTTTGTTTTTTTGCCGTGGCGTTGTCAGTTTATGTTCGATTTATGAGTTTGAATGTCCCTCTGGTATCGTTTGCCCCGCATTTGAAGATTTGTCAAAGAAGAAAGAAATACCAACCTGTACTGTCCAGCTTTCAACAAATTGATGACTAATTTGAACAAGTAAATTATGGATTGCACAAAATTCAGAAATCATGGTAAAAAATGATGACTACTAATGGGGGGGGGGGGGGGGCTAGCTAATGTAGTATTAAGTAACACAAAACAAACTAACTAGCAGGGTTATACAAGTGATACAACTTATACAATTTATCAAAGGTTACCACGTCTTTTTTCAAAGTAAGTCATCCTTTATTAAGAAAATTGAAATTCACTCCGGACTGAAGAGATCGGTCCTTAATCAATGCAATTATAACATAGAATAGGTCACATCTATAGCTATGAATAAGCATTCAACTTTCTACCAAAAGTTCTTGCATTAATCCCATTAAAATTGAATGAAATATAGATATGGCCATGTGGAATTTAGTTCCGGGGTTTGTTTTTTTTTTTTTTGCCCCTTTTACAGATCTTTTTCTGAATGTTAAAACAAACTCGTTGTAGATAGCTGATTTATTATTTGGTACACAAGACCGGATGGTCATCTACACAAGAGTAATGAATGTCAATTGAATCAAAACAGATGGAACGTCACATAAAATACAAAGTTGAAGAGAATTGAAAACCAAACATTCAAAAATGCTGCTCAAATGTCATCTATGAATGGAGGTATAAAACCCTTTTGATTAGATTTAACCAACTCACAAACTTATCTCCTCTGACGGCGTTTCCTCACATCAATCTTAAAATATTAGATATATTTAACCTCTTTTAAATGGATTGTGATAATATTATGTTATACATGTTGTAAAACCTTTATCGCTAAACCTTGAATTGAACATAACAGATTACATTCATGTGTAGAGTATGAAATTCAGACTTGTAATCACACTTATGCATATACATTTATTATAGTTATTTGACTCATCAGAGTGTCTTATCGATCAAAAGGCAAATTCAAAATACGTAACAAAGAGATGGCATAAAATAGAAATAGAAATGCATTTTGTTGCCATTAATGCCACATACATTTGAAATCGAACCTTGTTCATTTCTGTTCGCATTTTATCCTTCCGAAATATACATGAAGTTAAAAGCTGGGTTTATTTTATCTTATTGATATTTTTATTTGATTCTATATGTTATTTTTGTTTTGCCAATTCAAATTAATACTTCGTATCATTCATTTTTTTAATTTGTTTGCTTGGTTAATTTGTTAGTCAAATTGGCTTTTCAATAAAGTGGCTCAACTTATTATGCCACCTTTTGAAAGTTGGGATATGACCTTCCATACACTGATCCTTCTTAGAACACGAACTTAACAAAACAATTTAAGTACTGTATGTGTTGCATAAATATGAGGCAGAGCGTGATTATCAGTTTTATTTTCCTCTAATTGACTTTATCTATTTAGAAAACGACGAACGGCGTTAAATCTAATTATTACATTGGTAGCAATGAATTACATTGATTTCCCAGTCAAATAAAAACCGATAATTTCACATGTGAAATAAACGTGGTTATTTCACTCTCTGACGGCATACAACAATAGGCGTTGTCAAGACGTCGATAACGTCGGATCAAAACAAACTGTGAATGCGTAGAAAAAAGATATAGTTCCTTACATTTTCCACATTAATTTCATTAAAAAATGCCATTTGCCAATGTAATAAAAAGAATAACTAATCAAAGAATTCAAATATCGAAAAATATTCAACTCGTGACCGAACAACACTGATAATTAACTCATGCGCTACGGGCATTCGTGAATTAATGTGTTGTTCGGTCACTCGTTGAATATTTTTCTCTATTTCAATTCTTCGATTAGTTATTCTATAATTACATGCATTTAGTATTAATTTCCTCAAGAGGAAAACATGTTCATTTTTTTTAATTAATAATATGAAAGTCTATCTTTTCTTCACAGAACTCCAAAAGTTGTAAGATGTGCTAATAACTATAGATACCTAACTGTTTTATTTTAACGGAATGGTGATGAAAATGACTTCAAATTCATACAACTCATACTAGGTTCACGCATATGCATTGGTGGTTTTTGTATTCTATCGGAATCGAGACTTTTCGGAATACATATATCCATATATGTGAGTTATATATATAGCCTGAGATCCTTAACCAACATTTTGTACTCGTCATTTAGCACTATGGGGCAGTAAGACAGGATCCAAGGTTATGAGTTTAAAGATCCACAGGGCGTTCGGAAATCGTCTACATTTGAAGTTGATCTGCGCGGTAATAAATTAATCAAAAGAAAATACAAGTAATAGCTGTTCTATATAGCTAGCCGTCTAAAATATTGTGAAATTGGAAAATTCATTTTTGCATTGCAGTTAATTCATTCAGAAAAGCTATGTATATAAGTTTTAGCGGATTACAAAAGTTAAAAGGCTTATACAATTTTTGAGATATACAAGTCTCTTTTGAGAAAATGAATAAGCATTGCAAAAGGAGTGTGTAATTCCTTAATCATTTTTAACTGTATATCATGTTTATTGACATTAATTTTGGCTCAAACAGATACTTTATTTCTTGACCTTGTCTTTGGTTGATTATTTCTTTGTTTTTGAAAAATATGGCCACTTCCGCCTGTACCTGTTTCATCATAGTAGGTAAAGAAAAGTAAAAAGTGTAAAACGCAGTCACAACTACTCATTAAAGCACACAACTAATAATTCTAAAAAGATTTCATATATCTTTACAGTTTTAAATGTGTTCATTTTTGGTGTTATTGTTAAAGATACATGTTACAGGTTTTCAGGACCGGAAACATAAAGAACATGCATCGACAACAAGATATTGTTACATTATGATTAGTATACATGTAATGATAAACAAGATATCTGAATAAAATATCAAGAATGTCGAATACAGCGTTTTATTTGTTTTACTTAATTCTGATTCATATGCCATGATTATGCTCTTTACACTCATCAATTTCATTTTTATCAAAAACAAAGAATGAAACAAGTTTTTATTTATAACATTTTGATAGCTGCTCCTGTTTTGTAACTTCAAACAGTTTGTTTAAAATTGAAATGGGGGAAAAAAACAGAATAAACACAGTTTGCGAAACTAAGGGAAATTTTCGAAAATGACACAAAAAATAAGAAAAAATTATACACGTATGCGAAATGACGCAAAATTTTCCATAATTACAATGAGAGGTTGAAACTAATCATATGGCACTATCACACTCCCGTACTGATTCGTGTTCATCTGTAACAAAGGTATACCCTACTGCTAAATGACTATCTATATCAAGATCACCATTCAAAATTAAATTTAAAGCAATCACATTTTATTCTATATGCTGCATGAAGTTGTAAATGAAAAGTTCCCAAAACTAAAATCATAAAAAATAATTGTATAGACAAGCACGGTGATGAAAGTAAATTATTTTCTATCTACGCTCAAGGTGGATCACAGAGGGGAGAAATAGTGATTGTCTATAATGCCCATTTCACATACATTATTTTTTCGTACTAGTCTTTTCGGTTCGCCAACACGTAATCAATCTCAATTATTCGTAAACAACTCGATGGTATTCGTTAATAATTCGCCACAACTCGCAAACACTCTTAATGATCCGTGACAGAAGAAGCAAATTTTTTGACATGTCAAAAATTTTCCAAAGTTTTTCCACAGATTGATTTTCCCCTAGACAACTCGAAACAATCCGTAAGTATCGTAAACGCTCGCAACAACACGTAACCATCCGTAAACTGCTTGCAAGAATTCGAAAATTACTCGTAGCAATTTTTTAACGATTTGTTACTCGTAAACCGCTCGCAACAACACGTAACCATCCGTAAACTGCTTGCAAGAATTCGAAAATTACTCGTAGCAATTATTTAACGATTTGTTACGGTTAAATTATAATGAGAACTTTATGTGTAGTTGCGATTACTTTTCGGATAGATACGTATATTTTGTTTTACGTATTCTTATGTATTATTTATGATTTTAGGAAAGGTAAAAAAAGCTGCAATTTCGAAAGAAGTAGTAAATAATTGTAAATAAATCGTAACTGTTCGTAACATTACATAAACAGGTCGTAACCTAAACGCAAAGGCTTCGATAAAACGTAACATTCCGTTCTTTACTCGTAATAATCTGTAAAAAGCTCGTAGTTATCTGTGACAAATCGTAAAAATCGTTGTATGTTGCCGTAAATACATCGTA